GCTTTTAAAGCGTCTTCTATGGACTTTTTGGGGTACTGGGGTTTTTCGACGTTTTACGGATGCACGCAATTTTTAACGTGGGCATGTTGGGTATCGTTTTACTCGTTGTAACCTCATCGTTTATATTTCATTAAAAAAATTGGTATTTTGTTGTGTTTTGGGGCATTTAATTAAATTTTTCACTAAATATTGGGGTTTAATAAGGAGTTGCGCTAATATTGCGCAACATAAAAATTTTCAACTACCACCATTTTATTCTATAGGGTCTTGGCATTCAGAAAATATATAATGTTGGGGGGTTTTAAGTAATTTTCAGGCCTAAAATGTGGAATATAACATGGGTACAAAAAAATGAAAAAAAGGCCTCAGTCATGAAGGGGTTAAAGTATATGTACAACCAAAAGTCCAAGAAAGTTGGGACGTTGTGTAAAATCTACATATAAACAGAATGCAATGATTTGCAAATCTCAAACCCATTTTTTATTCACAATAGAAAATTGAAAACAGAAAACATATCAAATGTTTAAACTGAGAAAATGGCCCATTTTAAGAAAAAAAGGTAATTTTCAAATCTATGGCAAAGACAAGTCTCAAAAGTTGGGACAGGGCTTTATTTACCTCCGGTGTAGCATCCCCTCTTCTATAAACACTCTGTAAATGTCTGGGAACTAAGGAGACCAGTTGCTGGAGTTTTGAGAGGAATGTTGTCCCATTCTTGCCTGATATAGGATTCTAACTGCTCAACAGTTCTGGGTCGTCTGTTGTGTTTTTCGTTTCAAGGTGTGCCAAATATTTTCAATTGGTGAAAGGTCTGGACTGCAGGCAGACCAGCTAAGCTCCATGCTGTTGTCATAGATGCAGTATGTGGTTTAGCATTGTCCTGCTGCAGTATGCAAGGCCTTCACTGAAAAAGAATGTCTGGATGGGAGCATATGCTGCTCTAAAACTTGGATATATCTTTTCGCATTGATGGTGCCTTTCCAGATGTGCAAGCTGCCCATTCCATACGCATTAATGCACCCTCATACCATCAGAGATGCAGGCTTTTAATGGGAGTGCTGATAAGCCAGAAGGTCCCTTTCCTCTTTAGTCCGGTGACGCGGCCCCCATGATTGCCAGAAAGAATGTCACATTTTGATGCATCTCAAGAGAACAGAGAACAGTTTTCCACTTTGGAACAGACCATTTTAAATGAACTTTGGCCCAGAGAAGATGGCAGCATTTCTGGGTCATGTTCAGATATGGCTTCTTCTTTGCATCATGGAGATGGTACGGCGAACTGTGTCCACAGACAGTGATTTTTGGAAGTATTCCTGAGCCCATGCAATGATGTCCATCACAGAATCTTGCCTGCTTTTACTGCAGTGCTGTCAGAGGGCCCGACTGTCACAGGCATCCATTATTGCATTTGGGCCTTGTCCCTTGCTAACAGAGATTTCTCTAAATTCCCAATATTATGTACTGTAGATATATTTAAAGTCTCTTGCAATTTTATAACTTTTTTTCCAACTTTTTTGAGATGTGTTGCGGCAATAAATGTAAAAATTGCCTTTTTTTTTTTTCTTAAAATGTAGAATTTTCCCACTTTAAACATTTTTGATATGTTTTTTCTGTTGTGAATTTTAAAGAATGTGTTTGGGGTTTCCAAATTATTGCATTCTGTTTTTAATGTAGATTTTACGCAGCGTCCCAACTTTTTGGGAATTGGGTTTGTAAACCGAAATGATAGTTTTTTAGTATGCTTTGGCATCATGTCTTGCTGTATGCAATTTTCTGAAGCAAATAACTTTTTGAAAATCTATTGTGAAATTTCTTCCTTAGCCTTCGTGCACCACAAGCTGACGACACTGCTGCTAATTCTGAGGCAGTACCTTAGCTTTCGGGTTTAGGTACACTTGAATATTACACCCATCTGTACAGGGTTCAGCTTTATACAGCTCAGAGAGTCAGGGGGCACTTGGTGCATGTCAGAAATATGCATCCTTTCCAATTTAATATATGGTAGAATGTTTCTCATAATATTTTGTAATAGCCCTTTAATAAATTACTTTGTTGTTTTTAAAGTTAAGCTTTTAGCTCTTATGTCCTTTTTTTATTTGCAGCTTCTACGGGAATTGAAACATCCAAATGTAATTTCTCTACAAAAAGTATTTCTCTCCCATGCGGACAGGAAGGTCTATCTTTTATTTGATTTTGCGGAGCATGACCTATGGGTAAGATAATTTTATCCTTTTCACCTTTTTTTGCTTTAATCTGTTAAAATAAAAAATGCTTTTTTTATTATTTTGGCTTAAAAGTAAGGGGGCAACCTGTGTATAAAATATGCTTATTGATGTGGGGTTGTAATACTTGAAATTTCCCCTTTTTATGGTGCTTGTACGCCGTCCACTTATCCTGGTGGAGGTTTGGTGCTAGCTCCATGTTTAAGCACCCATACACTTTACAACCATCACACAACTTTCGTTGTGTGATGGTTGTAAGGTGATTAAAATTGCGTATGACCTGCCCATCTTGGACAGGCAGATCGTACTTGCGATCATCGCAAACCCTCCCTGCTGAGGTCTATGGACACCTTAAGCCATTGCACAATCCTCTGTCACCCAGACATGCAGCGTAGTATGTGGCATGTGGAGGAAATCTTTTGAGCAGCTTTATGAACATAGCATGCCCTATAGTGATAGCAGGTATAATAATTGGGCACACAGACTACCCGTATTATAATTTTTTTTTCCAGAACAAAATTAATTTGAGTTCTTTCTTAACGCACAAGTCTTTTAGTTTCAAATAGACAGTTGGAGCTGAAAAGTAGAATGGCTATAGACACAGATAATAGGTTGTTATCGATCTTGCCTGTCCTCACCCAAATCGCATGCTGAAGGTACTTGTTGCAGTCATCTTGGGTGCATAACGCTAATGTTGGTTTCCCTTTTCCTGTTGAGGGATGGAAATGGTCACGAAGTCACCACATTCTTTCCAGCATTTTGTAGAGTTTTTTTGCTATATATTTAAACCCGTCACATCACTGACGAACATAGAGCTGTGTATGACCAACCTTATTGCTATTCCACATTTGGCAGTTGATGGCAGTCTTCCCTAATATCGCTGCATAACTGTGTTATTTCTTGTCACTTGTCATCTGGAAAAGTACAAATGTCATAATGTTTGGACTCTTGGCAAGCTGTGCAGGGTGAAGAATGTCCGTGCTTGCATATGTATGTCTTAGAAGGAGCAGCAGCTTGCACCGTTAGTACAGTGGAAGCAAGCTCATGGTTTGCATATTTTGCCCTAAGCAGTCCTACAGCATAAAATTGACTCCCTAGTGTTGAGTTTCTCTCTATAGAGGAGACATTAAAAATGATATAACTGCAATGCAAGGAGGTGATTTGATTGTGGCCACACCCTCTGATCTTGTCTTCTGTTGATATCAATCAGTTTAAACAGGATGATGCCAATACAACGATAACTGTTTAATATGCAGTCTTTCCGCTTTTTTCACTATAAAGAGCTGTGCTTTAGAGGGGAGCTTCATATAAAACCTAAAACACTGTTTTGCATATTAAGAATTCTAAAAAGGGAATAGCATAGATAACCTTTGGGGGGAAACAAGATTACCAGTACAGATATATAGACAGATGAAGTTTAATGTAAATTTTTTATTTTATTTTTTTTTAAAGCTGATCTTGTCTGCCCTCCAGCATTAACCACGGAAGTGAAGATGGAAGCCCTATTCTTTTCCCCAGTTTTCCTCTGGGTTTAGTGTCTTCGACCATTTTGTTTCACTGGCCCCGATGATGCAAGTGCCCCACATGCGCGCGAATGTTGATTTATACTGGCTGGCAGGGAAAAGAAGAACGTTCTATTGTAGAAGAGACTACTCTCTTCTACAATAAAGTCTGCCTGACAGCATTTAAAAAAAAATATAGTTCCACTTTAAATGGTGTATAATTGCATTATTTTCCAGTAAATCGTTACCAAGTGCTTGTGTGTAGGGATGTCCAGATACCAGTGCCGATACTTGGCATTTTTACGAGAACTACTAGGGTTGCGGCGGTTGCAGCTGGGACATAGCTCTGGCGCTGCTCCACTGTCCTGAAATCATTAGTCTGTATTTTAGAAAAACTGTCACATGACAATAAACAAAAAATGTATCCGTACTTGTATCTGTGAGTACTTGGGCAAGTATCAGTACTTGGAAAAATGGTATCGGTGCATCCCTAATATATAATTATTATTATATATTATATTATAAACCAAAAAAATCATACATTAAAACAGGGGATGTACAAATCCTAGGAGCTCCGTGTGCTCCTTTTAAAAATGACAGCTGCCCCCTAACTTTTGAAGTTTTCCCTAGTCTAGTCCTGGAGCAGGAAAAGTATCTGTACTTGTACCGAGTACGGTACTTGGTATTTGAACATCCCTACTTGTGTGTACTTGGGTCTGCCCTCTACTGCTGTACCTATTTTATGCAAAGAGCCTGTTATTACAGGTGTCTGGATCATAATTTGGTTAAACAGTGTCTCATTCTTTTAGCTGTTAAAAGTCCAGTTAATGCCGACATCTTTCCTAATGTGGTTTCTATTTAATCGTCGGAAGGACATTTTTGTTGGCTCAATTTTCATTGGCTGTTTCCATCCATTTGTTTTGCTTTGCTCTGGATAAACATCCCAGATAAAGATAGTGGAATAGGAGCATAGACAGAACTCAATGGACCCAGCTCCCCTTTCAGCCAAGTATACTGAAGGCCTGTGTTACCATATCAAATGCAGTGTCCAGGCTTCCGGCCCTGGCTGAGATTCCCAGCAAAGGCATTTTGAAAATGCACTTCTAAGCCGGCAGTGTTCCAGCATCTAGCCTTTCATCAGCAGGACTACAACGAAAATGCATTCACATTGCTGGCCCAGGGTGTTAAATGCATTCTTTTGTGTGCCTGCATTATCAGGTGTCCAATTCAAGTACCTCTCAGCAACTCTTCTCTTTCGGTCTTCCTGTTAGGGAAGATTATAAAGGGGGGGCGGCTTATGAGGTCTGTGGTAGGATCAAGTCCCTAGTTGCCACTTGGTAATTATAATTACTAGGGATGCATCAAAATTCCGGCCGTTGATGCATATCGGCCGAAAAAAAGCACTTCTGTCAAAATGCTGAAAGTGCCATCTTTCGGCTGAAATAGCGGTGCATCCATAGTTTCTCTCCTCCCCTCTGGGCGCTGCTCTGTGTCCCCTCTGACACAACGCAGTGACCAGCAGGGAGGAAAGAAACTGCCAGGAGCCAGACGGGGAGGAGAGCACTGTGAGCTTGTTGCACACCGCCCGCTCAGCCTTCTGCACAGATCAGGAGAGCGGTGTGTGGGCGGAGTCAGCTGTCACTAAAGACCGCGGTGAGGTGGAGGAGCCAGCTGTCAAATAAGACTGTGCTCTCCTCCCCGCACCGCTCACTCAGCCTCCTGTAAAAGCGAGTCAGGATGGAGAGTGGTATACAAACATTCAGCGTAACTGGACATAGTATGAGTTACTATGTACCAGGTATGAATGAATATGAGTTACTATGCACCAGGTATGAATGAATATGAGTTACTATGTACCAGGTATGAATGAATAGGAAGTGATCTACATCACTTCCTATTTATTCATGATTGTGTACATAGTAACTCATGCGATATCCAAAATGTGTGAATGAACACTCCGTGCAGTACAGAGGATTCCTGTCATTCAGTGTTGGGGCTGCAGAAAAAGATTGAAGACTCTGTGTCCTCGATCTCTTTTTCTATTGTAAAAGGGAAATATCAGGGGTCTGTTTTTAACAGTAAAGGTAAAAAATATTTAATTATTAAAAAAATTACAATTTTGAAAACTTTAAAAATAACTTTTTTTTTTGCCATTCCTAACCTGAAAATGCTAGCTGCCTGGCTATTTGTCTTCACTATGGTTAAATTTACTGCCCAGAACAAGTATGCAGCATGGAAGCAAGGCAAGCTAGCATTCCACCAGCGATGGCTACCTCTCCATAGTGCTCTCAGTACCGGTTTACTTAGTCTTACTGAGTTCGCAAGTTTTATAAACTGGAATGTGATCTTTATTTGTAAATTTGGCTTTTAAATGAAATGTATCTATGACACTGAAGAAAATCATGCAGGGCTTTGTAATAATAATAACAAAAAGCCATTGCTTGAAAATGCCCAGCGTAAACTGAGTAAGGATATGTGTAGATGGCAAATACAGAGGTGTAGTTGTAGCTGCAGCCTTTCACCCCATTCCTGCCACTTCTAGGGTTCATTACGTCCTATCAGTCCTGTGGAATGCATGTTCATTTGGCTATTCTGAGTACAGTGCACCTTCAGATGTTTTGTACTGTGCTTGGCACAACAATTTTAGCTCACTATAGATGCCGCACTTCTAGTAGAGGGAAAAGAGCGTTAGTGTGAGTTACTTAGCAGTGTGGAATCTGATCTCTCCTGCTCTGCTATATCTGTTTCACATCATGCCAGTAGAACAATACCACTGTAGTAAATATGAAATACAATATTTTGTATATAGCACAATAAAAAGTTGTATTTTTCCGAGCCTTTATAGCACAAAACAAATGTTAAACCCCCTTTTATGTAGATTATACTGTGAGTACTTGTGTTTGTTTTTAAAAGCATATTTATGTTTGTAGATTTAATATTGGTACAGAAAATACACAGGGGCAGTCATGTATATATGCTGTGCTTTCTGAGTCATAGCAGAGCCCAGAGAATTTAAACTGCAGAATTGTCCTGAGTACAGGCCCGTGCTACGTTAGACAGACAATATGAACCTATTAATTCTTTATCTCCGATCAGCATTCTGTGTTTCTATTTCTGCTGCTAGGAAAATAAATCTTGGGTTATACAGAGTGCTCATTATGTGTGTTTGCTTTTCTTTCCTCTAAACACCAGTGTAGATTGTCTCGGTTTTGTGAAATTTCCATGAATAAAGGGAGGCTTCACAATTGAATGGAAATGACCTTTTCCCATGTCTCTCCTCACTGCCAAATGTGTTTTTGCTTCTTTCAGCACATAATCAAATTTCACAGAGCTTCTAAAGCCAACAAGAAACCAGTGCAGTTACCTCGGGGAATGGTGAAGTCACTACTGTATCAGATTCTAGATGGCATTCACTACCTGCATGCCAACTGGGTGTTGCATAGAGATTTGGTAAGTTGATCAGAGGCTGGATGTTACTAAAATTGCACTTATTTTCTTTTTTTAAGGTGTGGAGACATATGTTGAAGGTTTTACAGGAAGAGTGATCATTTGTCTTTTCTTAGAATGCTTTCAAGGCTCTTTCCTTCAGAATCATGTTCTCTTGCGTCAGAGAGATTAACAAACTATGCAGTGACCCTCATACTTTATTGTGGTATAACAACGTACAAAGAAATTAGTTATGAATGCATGATTTAAAAATACATCTACATTGACAGAATGGTCTAGCAGAGAGAAAATGGGTCTCTATTGTAACTTTTTTTTATTTTTAAGGTAAAGCTCCAGATAGACGCAATCGCTGAATAATTGTTTGACATTCATAACATGTTTGAATACCTTCTTTAAAGTGACATTTAAAGGATATTTTTTTCCCCTCCACCAATGTTAGTGTAAGGACTTACCTTAAATGATGCCTCCTAATCCAATCATCTTCCTATTTAGTGTAGTTTTGAGCTGTCGATCCAGCGCCGACTCCTCTGTACTCTTCTTCTCTGACGTCCCATGGAGTCTGTGCGGGTGCACGCTGCTCCATATGCTTGGTTTGTCTCTCTGTCTCCTGGCCAAACACCTGAACTGCGCATGCGCCCGCCCCATTACCCTTTGCAGCCGCCCGAGACTCTTGAGATGTTCGGACGGGAGCGCGAGGCGAAGACACATAAGTTTAAACCTGTTGTTTTGTTGTTTTAGTTTTTGCATAGATCTACTGCTTGCTAGCGGTAGATATATGCAAAAACACGCTGAGGGTTTAATAACGCTTTAGGCCCCGTTTACATTGAGCGGTTCGCAAATCGCACGTTTGTCGCGCGATTTGCATTTTGCGTGATTTTGCGCAAATGCTTGCATTGAGCAAGCTTGAATCGCGGCAAAATCCGCTCCAAAAAGGGTCCTGCTGTAGCGACCCGCGACAGCAGGACCCTTTGCCCCATTGCCAAGCATTGGAGCGCGATATCGCGCGGTAAATAGCCGCGATATCGCGGGAATTACCGTGCGATAAATCGCTCAATGTGAACGGGGCCTGAAGCTGGTAGACTTTTGTATGAATGTTGCTACAGAAAATCTTGTCAGAAGATTCGATGATGCCATCTGAGACTTGTGGAATGTCATCAAAAATGTAATTTGATTTTAACATTCAGTTATGGAATTTGATTTGAACATCAATTTAAACCCCATCAAATATAAGAAAATTGAAAACATTCTTAAAACTATTTTTTTTTCAAACAAAGTTCTACAGGTGAATGACCAGATTTAGGCTTCTTTAAGCGGAACTCCTGGAAGTATATTTTTTGCCAACTTGCATTGATCTAGTTTGGCTCAATGCAAGTATGCATATCTGATATCTAGAGGGACGATGAGGATTCTGAAAATGTATGTTGTAGTACTATAATAGATGCTATCATCTGGCTGCGGCTTCCCTCTACGTACTGAGCACAGGGAGTTGCTTGCTGGGCACCTCTATTGGCGATATATAAATCCTGTATAATAATATTAAACTTTAGACATATCCATATAATCCAACAACCACATAAATTCATATTAAACATTTCAGAAGGATAGTCTATAAAAACTGTTCCCAGTTCATACTATTATCTATGGCCTTTCTGTCCAAAAAATACCTCTTATAATGTCAAAATATATAAAGTACATACAACACAATTGATGCATACGGTCAATGTATCACCACAAACCACAACCGTCCAAACCACTAAACCCCTATATACTCATCAGACTTCATCCAGGCTTCCCAAATATTACTATATTTCTCCGCACAGCCCCTATGCTGAAAGAACAAGTTCTCATATATGAAATAATCCAATTTACCATCTGTTTCCAGTGGATGATTTCTGGTACTTCTGATTACATCCACTTAAGAACTATAAGTTTGCGGGCCATGAATAAAGCTTCGGATAGAAATAACCTCTGATATTGCATCCACTCTTCTTCATCCAACACTCCAGAGACGCACTAAAATCGCGTATGGAACTGGTCTTAATTATTGTCAATGAGTACTTGATAAATTATCTACTACAATCTTAACAATCACAGGACACTTCCACAATATATGTAGAAAATCTGCATTATTCTGATGACAACGCAAACATAATAGTCAAAAGACAAACCCATCTTATATAATCTCATTGCTGATAAATATGCTCAATGTATAATGCAAAGTTGTATCATGTTATTAATTGCCGGTGAGGCTCTTAAATGAGAGGAGCATACTGTATATCTTTCCAATCTTGATCCGACCTTAACAATACATTGAGACCATTTAGATCTCGCCAGTACTGGGGTTCTCCCAATTCTACCATGTAATGCATAAGAATATAACCTAGATCTTAAACCTTTCCGACCCTGTGATTTAAATATACCAATAAGTGGGTAATTAGAAATATGAGATGCAGTAGAGTCAAATTGTACGGTAAAGGCATGTCTGAGTTCAAGAAATCTATAAAAATATATCCTTGGCAACCCATGTCGCCTTTGTAATCGGTCAAAGGAGCAAAAATGCCCATCCAGCATCACATCAGATAAAACCCTTTCGTTGCCAAAAAGCAACATCTTTCCATTTATGGAGTTCAAAGAACATTGCGTTATTCCAAAGAACAAGCTCACCGGGGATATCATCTGTATATTCTAGGGATGCACAGATACTTTTCGAGTACCAGTGCAGATACTTGGTATTTTCATGAGAACTACCAGGGTTGCAGTGGTTGCAGGTGGGACTGGGCTCTGGCACTCCACCAATGTCCTGAAATCATTAGTCTGTGTTGCTTTAGAAAAACTGTCACATGACAATAAACAAAAATGTATCAGTACTCGTACTCGGCAAGTACCAGTACTCGTACTCGCAAAACTGGTATCTGTGCATCCCTTTATTTATATTAATAAAAACACAATCCTACATTAAAACAGAGATTGTACAAATCCCAGGAGCTCCGTGTGCTCCTTACAAATGACAGCTGCCTCCTAATTTTTATCTAGTGTAGGCTTGGAGCTCAAAAGTATCGGTACATGTACTCGTACTTGTACCGAGTACTGTACTTGGTATCTGTGCAACCCTAGTATATTCTAACAATTTTTTTATCCATCTGCCATATCCTCCTAGCCAACTCAAGAATCGGAAACTCTTGGTAGCAGTTTGGGGGAAAGAACACCTGTTTTTAAGGAATAGAAGGCATTCTCTGATTGGATGAGGTGAAAACTATGTCATCCATCCCTCCTCGCCACCATATTGAGTCAGAAAATGCCTTGTATTCATTGAAAGAAAGAGAAAAAAAATACGAAGGGGGATTTATCAAAACCGGAGCAGAGAAAATCTGGAGCAGCTGTGCATGTCAAACAATTGGCTATTGTTTAATTTTCATATCGTATCTGAACAGAGAAGCTGATTGGTTGCTATAGGCAACTGCTCCAGATTTTGTCCGCTCCAGTTTTGATAAATCCCCCCCAGGATGTTCTCTGAATGTGCCTGGAGAGCAGCTACCTGTGCTCAGGGTGCAGAGAAGAACTGCTATCACTGTGTGCAGCACAGACTACTTTTTTTTTTCCAGCATCCCCAGTGGCCCTCCAGATAGCAAATATGCATACGTACATTGAGCCAAGCAGCACCAATGTAAGTCTGCAAGTACTACTCTTAAAGGGCAGTTCAGGCAATGGGTAGGTAAAAACCATGTTGTAAGCTACTAGTGCAATCAGTTGCACTTTAGCTGCAGTAAAGTCAGCTATTTTACTTACTTTCCCTTAAGTTGCTGTCACAGCACACACAAACTGTCTGCAGAAAATGTGAAAGCCGCACAGCCACGTCAAGGCACCTCCATATAGTGCGGTCCTAACTCTAAACTATGAGAGTCTCCATCTTGGAGCACATGGGGCAAAATATTAAATTGGGTGCAAGTTTGTCAGGAGGAAGCCCAACCTCCCTTAAAGGTACAGGTACGCACAAGGGACCCCGCACATCACAAGGGCAGCTGAGACCTCCCATGCGTCACTGCACTTGCATGTGCCTTGATGTGGCTGTGCGGCTTTCACATTTTCTGCAGAAGACGTGTATCTAAACCTCCTGCTTTTTTTTTTTTTTATAAATTCTTTATTTAACAAGGATTTTTCACAATTTTCTTGTACACATACAGTTCTCCATAAGGGTCAAGATATGATCAACATACATGGTATTAGTTGCATGTAATCGACTTAAGTTGCAGACAGAGGAACATAACCAAACAAAACCACATAACCAAAACTTAAGACAAAGGGGGGGGTCAATTAACAAGGTCCATATCTAGATATCTTCGGGGGGGGGCATTGATGCGTGGCCTCTCCGGTGGCCACCGCAGCCAGTGCGGGCCAAGGATGGGCCTGGGTTTATGTGCTGGTTTCAAGGATCTCCCCTTCCTATCGCGGTGTTCAGTAGAACTGTGGCTGTCTGTAATGGGGTGATCCAGGAGGCGGGGAGTGAACGCAGTAGGCCAAGAGGCCCCACTCAAGAATTGGAGCGCTCTCGATTTCCTACGGGCGCTCAGGCTACGGAATCCATGGTCGTCCATGCCCGGAGGAAAGGCTGGGTTTCCCAGGACTGGGATCATCGGGGAGGGAGAGGGCGAGATTGAGTATTGTGCGAAGGCAGAGCGAGCTACTGCCAATGTAGGCGTTACGGTGGGGTGAGAGCGGATAGCTGGAGGAATGGGAGAGGAGCACCACGCCAGTCCCGACAACGGCTTCTTGGAGAACGACTGTTCCAGACCGGTCCATAGCTTCGAGGTGGGATGGCGACACCAATCCAGCACCCGGGTCAAGTGGGAGGCGATGAAATAAAGGTGTACGTCCGGAAGACCCATCCCCCCGGAGTGCTTGGGTAATCGAAGTATGTTGTATTTGAGTCGGGGAGGCTTACCCGCCCAAACAAATTTGGTGAAGAGAGATCTGATCGTTCGGAAGAACGAAGGTGGTATCTTTAT